CCCGCGGCGGCCCGGCCCAGCCCCGGGACCCTACGCCCAAGGACATCCCCTTCCTCGCCTGGACGCCCAGAGCTCCGCTGGAGAGCGCGTCGGCTCCACAGCCTCAGAGACCCAGGGACACTCACCACGGAGGCTCCTCCCGCTGCTGCTGCTGCTGGGACCGCTGCCGTCGCCTCCGCCGCCGCCGCCCCCAGCACCGCCTTCCGCACCAGCGCCAGCACCCGCGGCCATCCTCCTCCTGCCGCCGCCGCCCTCTCCTCTCCTCTCCTGTCAGTGGCTCAGGCTCCGGGACTGCTCCAGGTTCCCCACGCCGCCATTTTGACTCCTCCAGGGAGCAGGAGGGGCTCGGCTCAGCGCGGCCCTGGGGCGCCTGCGCGGCGCTGCGGAGCCCACCGGGCCCCGCCCGCCCTCGCCGACGGCGCGCCGGGTCACGTGATGCGGCGTCGGCGCCTGCGCCTGAGACTGGGGTGAGGAGCACCGGGGAGGTGCGTTCGTGGGGCCTGGACCCGTGGGAGCCGAGTGCAAGCTCTTTATTCCTGCTTGTTTCCTAGGTGTGGGGTGACAGATCGTTCTGTATTTGCAGCTCGTTGTAGCATCTCGCTTATTTCTGGGAACTGTGGCACATTATTAAATGTATCAGAATGAAATCATAATAACTGCGTCACTGGACGATCAGTTCTATCAATTCACGTTCTGCTCGGCAGCCGACATCCTTGGAGTGATCGGGCATGATGCATCATTGTCTCAGGGAACTGCAATTCCGTGGAAAAGTACTCTGACAGACTTGGCGCTTCGGTGGCTGCTTCTTGGCAGTGTTTCTTAAGCATTGGCTGCGTGGTCCCTTTACAGGCACTACCTTGCTAATTTGTATAGTGGCTATAAAAAAAAAAAAGTCACAGGGGTGTAACTCCGTGGTAGAACGCGTACTTAGCATGTACAGGGCCCCGGGTCCCAGTCCCAGATCATAAAGGCACTGAGGTTTCCCTCTCAAGATCCCACTAAACACTGGACAGGACTCATGGAAGCTTACAGTCCCCACTTGGGAGAGCTAAATTGCTTCCTTAGATAACCCTTGTTTGGGAGTCCGCAATAATTTCAACGCTGCAACAACAAAAATACCATATATTTATGAAGCATTCTTACAATTTTCAAAACAGTTAAATACATGGTCTCATTTGAACGCCAAAAACCACCCTTTGAGGTAGTTGGAACAGGTGTTACTATTGCCAATTTTCAGCTAAATAAGCAAGCCAAGACTAGCATACAGGCTTCTGACTCTGGCCAATGAGCCCTATTGCATCTCACTAGCCTCTGACAGGTTTAAACAATACTGCTGTAAATTCTTCCAGGAATTTATTTAAAAGTATTTGCATTTTCCATCTCTATCCACTCTTTAAGATGGGTAGCTGGCAGGCCTCTTTTAAGTTTTTAAAAATTATTTTTAGTTGTAGATGGACGCAATACCTTTATTTTTTCGTGGTGCTGAGGATCAAATCCAATGCCTCATAGGTGCTAGGCAAGCACTAGGAAGCGCTCTGCCACTGAGCTAAGACCCCAGCCCTTTTGAGTTGTTTTTAAACCTCCTCTGAAACCAGAGGAAAACCTGAACAAACCCTTTAGATTTAAGTCGCACTTAGTTACTTGCTTTTCTAGACTTAGCCCACTTCATATACTCTGAGCTATGTATTTTTTTTTTTTACTAAGTATTAGTCATTTAGTTGACTAAAAGTTAACACCTCTGAGGTGTAGATTATAATAGTGACAATTGATGAAGTTTGATCTAATAAATATTCCCAAATCCTATTTGGGGGAGGTGGATTTAAGTCGTACTCTCTAGTCTCCACATGCTTGGCTGCCTCATGAATAGATTCTTTCTGTTTTGCGAAATTCATTATTTCAGTATTGGGTGTACTCTATTTCATGCAACTCCAAGCTCCATGGGATAAAAACAATGTGGAGTTTTGTTATGTGTTTTAAACCATCTCTTGATCCCTTATTATTTTATCCGTTTTGTAATCGGTTGCAGGACTTATATTTTTTTAGATATCTTCCAATGTCATTGCTTTTTTTTTGTTCTTTCTCCAGATTTGTTATTTCTTCCTTGTGTGCATCCACCACATCCCTTTTTGAAAAGACAATTCTTTCCAATTTGTATTCGTTCACTCTTTCCTCTTCTATCCTATGTGTCTCCCCTACTTTAATCCTTGAAGATTTGGAGATTATAGTATATTGTAGTAAGGATTCCCCTCTAGCTGGCAAATCTTACCAACCATGCACCCTGCTGTAGATAATGGGCAATAAGTAGATGGAAAATTGAGAAAATCAAGGGAAATAGGCCCATCTAGTTGGAGCCAATGATTAGTTCTGAGTGCCTACCTCCTATTCCCATACTGTTATACTTCTTCTAAATTTATAATTTAAATTATAAATTGAAGCCACCTACCATTATTTTCCATTATTTGGCCTTTGTCCTCATCAACTAAAAGTTATGCCACTGTAAAGGGGTTCCAGGTGGTCTCTCCAAAGGCAGAGGAGATCTCCACCTAGACCTTCCCTGCTCTTGACACATTGCAGAAAAGAATTTAAAGACGAGTCAGATTTTAGCAAAGAGGAACATTTTTATTAGAAAGGGAGAGGTGGAGATACACATTCTCAGAGCAGAATGAAGGTTATCTAGGTGTGGGCAGGAGAAGGTATCTGGGAACAGCACGAGTGTGGCGATCCCAGGAGGTTTATGGTGGTCTCCTCTTCCAGGATCTTCAGGTTGACATTGCCTCTTTTATCTAGATAACATTTGAAATGTGTCTATGGTGTAGGTTTCTTAAAATGCACCTTCCTGTGTTTGATCTAATCTGAAAATACATTGTGTAGTATAACAGTGCTCTTGTATTTTAATTAAAATGAGGCAATTTTCATAGATGAGCGAATTTACAATAACTTTTAAATTTGTAGATTTCTTAGAAATTTGGGAGTGACAAGCCTGGGAGAAAAACTGGCCTAGGAGGAAACATATGAGGAACTTTAACACAAGACTTTCAGATTGTTGTAATCTCCTTTTACTTCCTTTTATTTATTCTGTTTTCATTGAATTAACTGAAAAGGCAAGAGAAAGTTAGATACACCCTGAAAAGAAATTCAGGCAAATTGACTAGGGATTAAAATATGACAAAATGATTAGGTTTAGGGCTTTTGTTAGGATATAGGGTGGAATTTGCAGTAGCATAAAACCTTGAAGTGGTACTTAGCCATGATCTAAAATGAAAAACTCCTTTGTTGTGGTGCACACTTGTAATTCCTGCTACATGGTAGGCTGACGTAGGAGTATCACAGTTTAGGGCCAGCCTGGGCAACATAGCAAGACCCTATCTAAAAATTCAGAATGGAACAAAACAAATTTTTAACCCAAAACAAACTAAAAAGGACTGACAATGTAACTCAGTGATAATATCACTGGAGGAGTTCCCAGAGAGGGGTTCTGGTCTCAGAACATTTGGAATCCTTGACTTATGTGGAAAAAAGAAGAAAAAGAAAAAAAAATTCAGCACCTACAGTTAGAGACAAAGACAGATTTCTTCGGGAAAGCAGATGCACATTCAAATAAGAATGCAGGCCATTTCCAAAACAAGAGATAGCATTAATATTTGTAGAGGGACATGTGCGGAGGTGCACACCTGTAATCTCAGTGACTTGGGAGGCTGAGGCAGGAGGATCACAAGTTCAAGGCTAGCCTCAGAGACTTAGTGAGAACCTGTCTCAAAATAAAAAATAAAAAGGGCTAAGGATGTGGCTCAGTGTTAAGTGCCCCTGAGTTCAATCTCCAGCAACACCCCCACCCCCACAAATTTCCTGTCTACACTGTTTCTTGATAATTTATTAAAATGTTAAACAAGATTATTCCCCCATTATTAGCACTTTGTCATTTGTTCACAATCTTCATTACTTTGGTTATGTTGCCTTTGATGTGGAAATCTATCCAAGATTTCTAGAAAAGCCAAAAAGTTCTGCTGGCTGCTGTTCCACCTTATCTTTTTATCTATTTGTACATTTGGAGAACTCTGGAAAACTGTTTTGGTACAGAGGCTATGCATAAGGGTTCCATGATTCTCTCTGCTCTTAATTCATCCACTTTTTATTTTCTTATTGTACCACTTGCTGCACTTTTGAAATACTGAATTAACTCAGTTTACAAATTATGATGTTATAAAATATACATTTGGCCTTCATGGCCATTTCATAGCATAAGAATCATAATTTTCTTGGAATCATCAAAGTGATCGGTGTCTTTTTGTATTCTAAAGAATTACTAATGTCAGGCAGCCTGTAAGTAGCTCTAGGATGGGAGCTGGTTACCAGAAAGATCAAGGCAGAATTAGAAAATTGGGACTTCCAGCCCCACTTCCTAACCCCTGGGGAAAGGACTGGGATTGGAGGTTAGGTTGATCCCTAAAGGCCAATGATTTAGTCAACATGCCTATTTAATATCACCTTCATAAAACCCACAAAGGGCAGCATTTGTTACTGAAGGTTGAGAGTTGGGCCTTGGTTGTAATACCTAAGATTAGGAGGATTACCCCAGTGTAGACACTGAAGTACAACATGTTCCCAGAGAGTAATTGGAGCAGGATTATTGCAAGGTGAGGGAAAGTCGGGGGTGGGGTGGAGTGGGGGGGCAGATTGACTAGGCACCAAAAGTGCAGCAGAATGATTAGACCTTGGGGTTTCGTTAGGATGGGGTGGGAATTTTCAGTGGGAAACTTTGGAGTGGCAAGTAGCCAGGCCTTTTCGGGCCCAGGAACTTGCACAGCCCTGGCCCATTTGGAGAATGTTGTAGGCTTGCCTGTGTTGTGTGAATATTGAGGGTATGCATCTGCGTACCTGGGTCGTTTTGCATTTTGAGGCCGACTGCCACTGGTGGAAGATCATGTAACAGTCAACTGATCCTCAGAACAGCTTCTGGACACATGTGTCGCGAGACATCCATGGGCTGTGTGTGTGAGCTATGTGCATCTTAGTGTAGGAGGGGACTGGTCTGGCGTTGCACACTGACTAGGCTGTGAGATGCAAATGTGCCTTTTCTCTTGCTCTACCTGTGATCCCACACAGCACCCGCCCTCCATCTTAAAAACTCATGTTTGTGTGCTGTGTGGTTTCTTCACAGTTTTCTCAGTTATTGGTACAGCCAGCTCCTTTGAACCCAGCTCATCTCGTCAGCCTCGCCAGCTGGCGATACCTATGGACAAGGGAGTTGAGGCCTCTGTTTTTGGACTATGAGGGAGTGGTGGGACCTTTGGTGGTTCTGACCAGTCTGCCTACCTTCCTAAGATGGATTTCTTCCACAGCCTCACCCCACACAAGGGGGGCAGATTTATGTCCTTATGGCTTTCA